GGCATCCCCACTAGTGTTACCGGCGTCGCCTTTGTCACCTGTGGGAGCGGAAGGACCGGTTTCACCGTTCTCATTCGTAGAAGAAGGAGACGATGGAGTCGTCTGAACTGTGTCGTTCTCAGTGTTTTCAGCAGGGGAAGGAGCAGCCGGTGTACCCCCTGCCCCGTTCTGTGTGGGTTGGTTTCCTGTAACACCGGATTGATTGGTTTCATCATCCTTCTGCACAGAGGGAGTATCCGCTGCGGAGCCTGGATCTGTGAGTTTTGTCGATTCAGTATTAGTCCCAGGGGAACTATCCGTTTGCGAGCCACTGGGTCCCGCTTTCGCATGGTTGTCGGGTTGTGCTCCTTCCTGTTTTGCTCCTGCTGATGCACTTGGGGATCCGTCACCTACATCCCAGGATTTAGTATCATTGTCCCACTGTCCCCAGAAGTCCGGGTCGCCGGTCTTTATGTTCGCCGCGTCGTCGTTCGTTTGCTTCGGAGCGTCGTGCGAATCCGTTGTATGACCTGCACTCGATGTACCTAGAATAACGCCACTGTTGTGTTGTTGTTGTGCTGCCGTTGCCGCTTCCGGTGTTCCCGCTTGCATGTGGGTGCCTTGTGTGTTTCCATGTCTTAAATAACCATTTGGCATAATCACCTGTTCGCCATTGGTCGTGCCATGAGGTTGGAAAAGGATTACGCGGATCGCGAACATACAAACGATGTGTATAAAGTACTTCATTTTGGTGTAGTCCACGTGTGCGCTAAACATGCAATGCTGTGCACGATGCAAGTTGGATGGACAATGCAACGGTGGCGCAACAGTTTTGGTGCGGGGAATTTTGGACAAAAATGGTCTGTGTCTGTGCGTATAAACGACAAAAGGGGTAGGTACAAAAGGTGTGTGTAAACGACAAAACGGGTGTGTAAACGAAACACGTGTATTTATAAAAAGAATAAAAAAACGTAAGCAGAAAAGAAACACCAAAACGAAAACAACAATGAATGAAAAACGTGATTAAACAAAAAAAAGGCCACACGAAGAACAATTAACACGCAAGGATGATTCAACATATTTTTGTGTTTATGTTTTTTTTTTTTAAATTCGTTGCAAAGTTTAACATTTTTTTAACAATGCACCACTTATCATGTTACATAAATGTATGTACTATTACATAGTTGTACATAATTGTACACAAAAAGTGAAACATGCTAACAATGTGCAAATGTGAACATATACAAAATGTGAAAGCGTCACACGTGTCGATATGTTAACGTGTCAACGTGTCGATATGGTAACGTGTGAAGTTGTAAATGGAAAAAAAAAAAAGTTGTTTAAAAAAAAAACAAAGTTGCAACAAAAATGACATGTAAAACAAAATAAAACGTAACAAAAATGAAATGTAACCAAAATAAAATGTAAAACAAAAAATGAAATGTAACAAAAATAAAATGTAAAAAAAAATAAAACGTAACAAAAATGATATGTAACAAAAATAAAATGTAAAAAAAAAAATGAAATATAACAACAATGAACTGTAAAACACAATAAAATGTCACAAAAAATGAAATGTAACAAAAAATGAAATGTAACAAAAAATAAAATGTAACAAAAAATGAAATG